CATTAAGCTTTAATTATTCTTCCCTCACTTCCTTCTTAGCTTGTCCCTTAAATGTTTTGTTCTTTGTGGTTCTGTTTATACCCTTTTTTGTCTCACTCTTGTGTGCTCTGTCTGGGCAATCTAATTTTCCCCCATAATTATTTTCTATGTGCCCACTACTCCCATATCTATAACTGTTCATTCACTTCTATCTGGGTTACAAACCATATAGCCACTTCTTTGTTATACATCTCCAATTGGATGTTTCAGCTACCTCTAACTTTTTTTTTTTTAAAGATTTTTATTTTTATTTTTACTGATTTCAGAAAGGAAGAGAGAGGAAGATAGAAACATCAATGCTGAGAGAGAATCATTAATTGGCTGCCTCCTGCATGCCCCCTGCTGGGGATCAAGCCCTGTACCCAGGCATGTGCCCTGACTTGGAATTGAACAATGTGACCTCCTAGTTCATAGGTCAATGTTCAGCCACTGAGCCACACCGACTGGGCACCTCTAACTTAATATATAAAAACTGAACCCATGATCTTTTAGCCCTCTTCCTCCTTTTTTAGGCCCTACAACCATGAAAAGATCACTTTCACTCATATTCTGAGGTAGAAATCCCTGAATCATTCTATAGTCCTTTCTCTCCTCCACATTCAAATCACTGTTTGAGGAGTACCACCATCTCACGTTTCCGGGCAGAGTGCTCCATCCCTCTGCATGTGCTGTTATCGTTCTGCCTGATGTACTCTGATTCAGGGAAACATAAGCTCCTTTGTACTAGTAATGCTTTCCCTGGGTACCCTCAGTTGAACTGTTCTTTAATGTTCTCATAGAGTGTACATCTCTGCCACATTATACCGTGGGGTTTTAGACTTTTGAAGAGAGGTCTGAGTAGGTCTTGCTCTGGAGTGTGACCTACTTTAAGGTGAAGCCTTCCTGGTGTTTGCTGATCTACAGTGTTAACGTGATTTCTTTGCTCTTGCAGAACTGGAATTCCAAAATGCTTCTACCTCCTTCCCCCAGCTCTGCA